GGAATTTGGCTATAATATTCCTGGGAATTTTCCTTTTGGGATCTCTTTCAGGAGGTGATTGGTGGATTCTTTCCATTTCTATTTTACCTTCTGGTTCTAGAATATCAGGGCAGTTTTCCTTGATAATTTCTCGAAAGATAATGTCTAGATTCTTTTTTTGATCATGGGTTTTAGGTAGTTCAATAATTTTTAAATTATCTCCCCAGGATCTATTTTCCAGGTCAGTTGTTTTTCCAATGAGATATTTCATATTGTCTTCTATTTTTTCCATTCTTTTCATTTTATTTTATAATTTCTTGATTTCTTATAGAGTCATTAGCTTCCATTTGCTCCATTCTAATTTTTAAGGAATTATTTTCTTCAGTGAGCTTTTGGACCTCCTTTTCCATTCGACCAATTCTGCTTTTTAAGGCATTCTTTTCCTCATTGTGTTTTTGGACCTCTTTTGTCATTTGGGTTAGTCTATTTTATAAGGTATTATTTTCTTCAGTATTTTTTTGGCTTTCCTTTAGCAAGCTGTTGACACATTTTTCATGATTTTCTTGCATTACTCTCATTTTTCTTCCCAATTTTTCAAAATCCTTTTTGAGCTCTTCCATGGCTTGAGACCAATTCATATTTTTCTTGGAAGCTTTTGATGTAGGAGTTTTGACTTTGTTGTCCTCTTCTGATTGTATGTTTTGATCTTCCTTGTCATCAAAGTTTCTATAGTCTGTCCTTTTCTGCTTTTGCTCATTTCCCCAGCCAATTACTTGATTTTTTAACTCTTTGTTAAGGTATGGCTCTGCTTCCAGTGTGGAGGCATACTATCCCATGCTTCAGGGGTTTTGTGCAGCTGTTTTCAGATATATTTCTAGGGACCTGTAAGTTTTCAGTTCTTCCAAGGTGGTATGATCTAAGGAAAGATGTTTACTTCTCTCCTGGCCTGTCCTCTGATCTATGAGTGACCATAAGCATTCTTTTCTGCCCTGGAACAGTGCCCTCTCCACTACTGCCACAAGCTCTGCTATTCCAGTGCCCCTCCTCACCCCAGGACTGCGACCCAGATCCAAGTATGGGCAAAGCAACAAAATCCTGCCTCAGTGCCAGCAAAGATATCCCTGTAATCTCCTTCTAATCAGTTGTTTGATCCCCTTACCATCTGTGGTCTGAGAGCTCTGGAAGCAGCCACTGCCTCTGCTAGCCCCACCTGGGGCTGTGCAGGGGCTGGGGCTGGACTGTGCTCCTCTCTCACCCAGGTCCTACAGACCTTTCCTACTGACCTTCTAAGTTGTCTTTGGTGTTTGTGGGTTGAGAAGACTGGAAACCACCACAGCTGCCCATGATTCAGTCCTCTGTGGCTTATTCCAAGTTTGCTGGGGCCTGGTCTGTTTTGTTCTGCTCCTCTCTCAGCCTGGTACAGCAGACCTTTTCTGTAGACCCTCCAGGTTGTCTTGGGCCAGAAATTTGTTTCAGTCTGTCTTTTTGTGGGTTCTGTTGCTCTAGGATTTGTTTAGAGTAATTTTTACAAGTATATGGAGGGGTTTGGGGGAGAACTTGAGCAAGTCCCTGCTTTTACTCTGCCATCTTGGCTCTGCCCCCCATATGAGCTTTTTTGACTGTCATATGACACTGTTGACTCATAATGAGCTTTCATGACACTAAAACCCCCTTATCTTTTCTAGATAAACTGATGTCTAGCCATGCCTCGCATTTCTTATGCCTGGGAAAGTGATTTTTTTTTAAATCCAAATGTAAGACTTTACATTTACCCATATTAAGTTTCATCACATTAGATTTGTTCCAGTATTCTTCCTGTCTCCTGACTTTTTCATCTGATGTGTTCACTCTTCTTTCTAGTATCATGTCATCTGCAAATTGTATAAGTATGCTATTTATGTCTTTATCTAAATTATTGGTAAAAATCGTTAAAAAGCTCAGGACCAAGTACATATCCCAATGAGATATGAATCTGAATTAGAGAAGAGAAGCATTCTCTGTCAATATTATAGGGGAGGAAAACTGCCTCTTTTTCCACCAACTCACATACTGGCCACCTGTGGCATTGGACCTGTGCATCCTTCCATACAATTGAATCCAACATTTATTAAGTGCCTACTTTGTTCAAAGGCACTGAGCGAGACACCTCAAAGCCACTATAAGGCAACTTTAAATGTGAGCCTTCACAAAATTGCCAGGTGTGTCTTTGGCACCCTAAAATCTTTTCGGCGTATTTTTTTCCCTCAAATTTAAATCATGTTCTCAGCAGCCAATTAATTTCTGTGCCACTCCTTTCTCCCAAGCTGTTAGCTAATAAAGACCTAAGATGTCACTCATCCAGAGGTTTTGGATGCTCTTTAAAGCCAAAAATACTTATAGACCTAAAGATTCATTCTTTAATGGTTTTGTTTTATATCTTGGCAGGCCTGTGGGAAAGGTATTTGGGAGTTAAAGATAGAGGAAGCTTTTTTGATTTCCTCAGATCATAATGCATAGGTAACCTTCCACTCTGCTTATTGGGAAAGCTGGCCCTAGGAAGCTTATCCAGACCTTGAGAGGAAGATAAATAAATGCTTAATAAATGCTTGTTGGTTGATTGATTCTCTTATACTGTTGTTGAAATGATTCTCTAAGGAAACCTCATATAGGCTATTTTGTCAAGGATAAAGTGAAAGTTGCTATCATCATTAGCTAGATAATTAGTCCCCCCAACGCCCTCACACACACCACCACCCTCACAAAAAAGTCTTGCTATTAAGGGAAAAAAAGCAATCTGAAGAAGAGCAAGCAGATAAAGTTGTCCCTCTACATTGATGCAAATCTCCAGATAATTGCTTAACCCTCAGTTGATTAAAGATTGTTATTAGAGAAAAGGCGGGTCCAGCAAGTAATCACAAAATGTTAATTGAATGTCTAGGAATTTTCCTACAACCCCTGCAAAAATAGCTCTTTAATCAACTTGAAAGGACCTAAAACTCAATATAACATGGAGGAAGTGCTGGACACAGAGAAAGGACACTTCAATTTGAGTCTGGATTCTGTCTTGATCTCTCTGAGTCTTACTTTGTTCATATTTAAAATAGAGAGGATAAGAACTATACTACCTACTTTACAGGATTATTATGACATAACTAGATTGTAAACCTTACAGCATAAATGAACATGACTTGTTCATAAATCTTTGGACAAGTACAAAAGATTGTTAATGCCATTTCTGAACTAAAATTTTAACTACACAAATCAGAAGATCCCAAGTTATTATTCCCACAGCAACTATGTTTCAGTCTTTATGTAATGCCTTTTGAGTAACGACCATTGCTAAAAAGAACTTTAGATTTCAGCGTTTAGGTTTCTTTGGAGTTTTTCTAGCCATTTATGTAAGGTAGGGAGTTCAGACAGACACACTTCAATTTCTGTGGTTAGCAGAGTCCAGCAAGTAATCATAAAATATTAAGTAAATGTTAAGGAATTTTCTTACAACCCTCCAACAGGATGTAAATAGATCTTTAATCAGTTTGAAAGTATTATAGGTCCTTGGCCATTAGATAAAGACAACTAACACCATACAGGAAACATCTTGTGATTAGCTAAGAGAATCAGTTATCCCCCTTGGCCATAATGTGTGTGTATGTATGTGAACATGAATCTGTGTGTGTATGTGTGTATATGAGAGCCCCTTCCCCACATTGTTGCTCTCTGGTAAGGTCAAGAACAGAAGCCATTTAGCAGTAGAGGAGTTGAGGCATTTTCTGGAGATAAAATCCCTTCACCTGGACCAGAAAGCAACAAGGTGGGGAGGGGACTTTCTCTTCTTTCCACAAAATTGACTATATCAGATTTGCTAAATGAGTGGGAGACAGTGCGTACAGTTGGGAGCAGATATGCACACCCGGGACACATGAGAATACAAAAAGGTGAAGAATTAGACACAAGAGGAAAGAGAAAGACTCATGAAGCTCTACAAAGAGAGAAAGGACTTCCATGTCTTTTAGTACTAGGAGTTGTGAATTATTATTTGCAAAATGTGTATCCTATATATGTACCTCACTGGCATTGTGCACTACACTTGAACCTACTCTTCCCATTGAACTCTGCATATTTGTGGAGACTGTTTCTCAGGTTTGGGGGGAAAATATTTTGTACCAATTGCTCCTATTTATACCATCTTAGTAATAACTTCACTAAAAAATTAATTAAGTCTATTGGCTGATTGCTAACAGGAGACAGACTAATAGGAACTCATGAGCTACAGCGGTAGGAGTAACCATCCACAGAGTTACCATTAGTGATAGTTTTAGAAGCGTGATACCACAGGGTATGCTCCTATATCCTGAGGATAGTAGTCACTTCTATAAACCAAATCCATGAATGTGAATTCCAATTCAGAGAGGATCCTGGGGTGGGGGGGAGGGAGGCATAACACTTACAAACTATTTATTATATTTCTGTACCAGAAAGCTATATTATTTAGTCATATCCTTTGAGATGAGATTGGTTTAGGAAAATAAAACTCTTCCTTCAGAAACAGTGGAAAAGTAAAACAGAACTTAACAATTTAGCAATCATGCAGTTCAGGATTGACTTTGAGCTATATATTCATGAGATGCAATATACCCCCAAACCAGTGACCCTTTAAGACACTGCTCCATAATATTTTACGTTTATACAGCTCCTTAAGGCTTTTACCAAGCACTTTATATATATTAAATCATTTGAGTTCCTCAACAAACCTGTGAGGCATGCAGAATGAGACCCATATTTTGACCCCAGCCAGGATCAGAATTTGTTTGGCTCTACTCTATGTGTGTGTTATTACTAGGTCTATCTAACAGTGGTTTGGGATATCCTGGAAACTAGAGGGTTCTCTGTTACTGGAGACCTTTAGGTGAAAGGTTGATGACCCCTGGGGGAGGGGTGCTTATACAGGGAAACTCTTGGTTAGCCATGGGTGTGTGACTTCTGAGGCTCCTTTCTCCTCTGATTCTATGATCTAACCCATCACCCTTCTTTTCCTTCTCCAGGCAGAGATGGTGCACAGTGCCTTCCAAGCACAAAGAGCTTTCATCTTGTTAGCATCTCAGTACCAACAGCCCCAAGAGGTAAGATCCGTTGAGTGTCCATGACACCATGGTCTGCACTGTAGACCCCTAACAACAGACATGCATATTGGAGAACAGTAACAGAAAATCATCAGAGCTGTTGTCTCTGAAATACATCTCACAAATCAAGCCGTGGACCATGTCTGTACGTTCCTACTCATCCCTGTCAAAGCACAGCTGAGCTAATCAATTTAGCCATCTTCACAATCTAAATGCACAAGTTGCATTAACTTTTGTGTCCATGATTGTAAAGAATAACATGCAGTGTGCACACAATTACATCTGTATTTTAGTAAGCACAGCAGACTTAAGAAACAGCATGGTATGATGGGAGGAGGAACGACATTTATGATGAACTACTTTAAATTGGCAATGCATTTTATGACATTATTTGATTCTTTAGATCCCTTCTGAGGTAGTAATAATAAGTTAACATTTTTGTAGCACCTACTGAGTGCCAGGCACTATGTTAAGCACCTTACAATTATTATCTCATCCTCACAACAACCCTGGAAGGTAGGTTCTATTATTATCCCCATTTTACTGCTGAGTAAACTGAGGCAAACAGAAGTTAAATGACTTGCCCTGAATCACATTGCTAGTAAGTGTCTGAGGCCATATTTAAACTCAGGTCTTTCTGACCTACCTAACTGCCCCAAGGTTGCAGAATCATAGATAGCATCCTGGAAGCATCCTTAGACACAATAGGCCAGCTCCTTCAAGGATAAGGAAACTGAAGTCCATAGAGGTTAAATGAATGGCCCAAGGTTAGACAGGTAGTAAGTGGTGTAAGCAGCTCTTGACTACAGGTCTTTTTGATTCTGAGCCTAGCACTTTCTTCAGTCTACCACAGTGCCTTCCATCATGGGAATTGTAAAGCAGGGTCTAGATCTGGCGTTCCCATTAATGGTGTGGCCTTGGCAAACATCAGTTCCCTGGGCCTTAGTTTCCTCATCTGTAAAATAATAATTGTGTTTTGTTGTTTGCAAATTGTTTTCTATGTATTATCTCATTGGAGCCTCTCAATAGCCCTATGTTGTAAATAATAGAACAATTGTCCCAATTTTGTACCCGAGACAACTGAGGCTCAGAGAGAAAGAACAACTTCTCCAAGGTCACACAGCTAGTGCCATTGATGGTTGGACTAGTCAAACTCAGAGGTGCCTTAAAAATCTATGATTATATCATTGTAACACCTGGGTTTGAATCCCACTTCTGCTATTTATCTGTTCTATGACCTTGGTAGTTACAGGATGTAACCATGTCTTTGTGCTAGGTCAATAAAAAGGTCAGTTGCAAAGTTGGACTTTTGGGGGCTTTTTTGCTTCTTTTCCCTTTTTTGGAGGACAGACCAGAGATAAGAAGAGCTAAGACTTGGGCAATGGGGGCAGATAGGGAGAAAGTCTCTTCATGTGCACAGCCTCCCTTAGGAGTTTGGGGGCAGAGACCAGGAGGAGGAATTCTTAGGCAGTGCCAGTCACTTGAGAAGAAGGGATTGTATTTGTAAGGCCCCCCCCAGTTACCCCCTTCTGACACACACACATAAAGTGAGATGAGTAATAAGGAACTAAAACCAAGACATAAGGGAGGCCTGAACTTTGCTCTGTTACTACCATGAATTGTTCAGATAATTGTTCAGATAATACAGTTCTGAGAAGGGGGTTGCCTTTCTAGCAATCCCAAGTTTGTTTTCTTTCCAGGAGGAGTCCAAGCCCACGGGGAGTGATGCCATAAGGCTAGAAATTTACATGCATGCCTGGGGAGTGAAATCCATAAGAATGTTGGAGCCCACTTATCCATGAGCCCCAAGTTTGTTTTCTTTCTAGGAGAGTCCAGTCATAGGGTAGGGCATCTGGAAGACTATACAAGACCCTGGAGAAAAGGTAGAAATCCTTGGAGATAGAACGTTTTGTTGATTATATAAGCATCTGAACATTATAAGTATTTTTATTGCTAAAAACATTTGACCAATCTCTTTGTATATGCTTAAAGCTCCTGAGGTTATAAAATTTGGCTCGGAATACCAGAAAATAGAATTTCACTTGAGATTTGTGGAATTTTCACCTTTCAAAGCATGAATCACACAGCACTAGTAAAGGAAAGAGCAAGCTGACCTACCTCATAGACATGCCCTGAGTGGGTGAAATTACTCAACATGTTCTTAATCAGTGGAACAGAGTGTCACTATTCAGTGACCACTTTACTAGTGCCAAGCTCCAATGTATGGCCCTTAATGGAAGGGAACTTCCTTTTTAAGCCATCAGCAAAATCATGACAAGTCAGCCTACACTTTCTACCACTTAGGGTCTTTTTTATTGATGTTATTTCTGGTTTCTTTATTGGGCTTTGTGTGGGCCCTGCTGCAGAATGATAACTTTATGGACCTTCTACAGAGGCAGTACCTGGTTTACTCTCCTAAGTTTTTCTTGTCTTTGAGATCCTTGAGTTATTTTTCTGAGTGGTATCTTTGACCATGAACTCGTATTTCTCTTTAATGACAAACTTTTTGTAAGCTAGGAACTTAACCATGGCTCTCAACTGAAGCACAGCCATTAGCTATCCAGAAATTCTCTGTTATACTATAGTTGTTTCCTTCCTTAGTTTTCTCCTATCTCTTTAGGAAAGTATATGAGAAAGTTCTATTTCCCATTGGTTCCTCAAAGATGAGTGTCAAAGAGGAAAATATATGTAAGTTCTTCACTCATCTGCATCTAAGGAATGCCTTTGGTCTTTTGCAAAAGAGATCATCAAAGTCGTTAAATATGAGACTGTGTAGTGTGTTGGAGGCATTGCAGTGCATTGGAAAGAGCCCCAGACTCAGAATTATTTAACCTGAGGCCAAGTCCTGGCTCTGCCATTAGCCATCTATGTGACCTTGGGCAAGTCATTTAATCTCTTAAGGCCTCAGTTTGCTCATTTGTGAAATGAAGGAGTTATACTATATGACCTCTAAGATCCATTTTAGCTTAAGATATATGATCTCATGTGATATTTTGATATTTTATATTTAAGCCTCATTCTGCCTTTTATTTGAGTGAAGTAAGAATACTCTTAATATCTCAGGAGAAAAAGAGATATATGGCCACCTCCACCCTCCTCACCCTCACACACAGATCTTCCCTCTTCCATTCACAATGTGAGGTGGAGGGAGAATGGGAAGGCCTCTGAATGATCTAGTGTGTGTACATTCGTGTTAAAATGCCACAAAATGAGCTATGGCAAGAGATAGTGTAAGTTTGACTAGGCAGAATTGTTTCAGATCACAACAAATGCAATTCTTGGTTCTCTCTACTTCATTCCTAAACACAATCATGGGGGGAAGGGAAGAAGAGGGAGGGAATGAATTTGGTCAAAGGGCACACACTATCTTCCTCTCCCAGTATCAAGGATATAGGCTGCCTAGTTTTCTTTATAGCATCCAAAACAATATTCTGTAAGCATGAATCATCGGCAGGTGGGAGATATGGCACTGGTCCCGCAAAAGGATTTAGCATCAAATAAAACATAGCTACTTCCCCAGTAAGCCATAAAATCAAAGATCCCAATAATCACAACCCTCAGTCATCATTTAAAATTAGTAGATTGTTATCTTATGTTCTACAAAATCAGAAAAATCAGTGTTTATGTTGCTTTCCAAGGGACACCACTATATGCATATATGTTACATAAAAATTCTGCTGCATTATAAATGTAACCCATCTAGGATTAGCACCATGCCTTCGTACATGTTAGACATCTAATTACCAATTGCTTTGTTTGACTTCTTTGAATTAAAAAAAAAAGTGGCAAAGGGGATTGATTTGATTATCTCATATCTCTGCAAATCACACAATTGTAGAGGTGGCACAGATCTCAAAGGTCTTTTACTTCAACCTGTACCTGAATCTTCTATGCCCCCTACAACAAAATCCCTGATAAATAGACATCCAGCCTGTGACTAAGGTAAAGAACAGCCCACTCTGAGAGGCAGGTCATTCCACTGCTAGAGAGATCTGGTAAGAAGTTTACATGTTGAAGTGAATTCTGCCTGTACAACCTGGACCCATGGTTCCTAGTTCGGCCATGTAGAACAAGTGAATCCCTTTTCCATAGCCTTTCAAATGCTTGAAGATAGTTATTATATTCCCCAGAGACCTCTCTTTTCTCCAAGCTAAATATCCAACTTTAGTCATTTTTCAGTCGTATCTGACTCTTTGTGACCCTATTTGGGGTTTTCTTAGCAAAGATACTGGAGTGGTTTGCCATTTCCTTCTCCAGCTCATTTTATGGATGAGGAAACTGAGGAAAACAAGGTTAAGCGACTTGCCCAGGGTCACACAAGTATGTGAAGTATATGAAGCTGGATTTGAACTGAGGTCCTCCTGACTCCAGGGCCAGAACTCTATTCACTGTGCCACCCACCTGCCCTTATATATCCATAATTCCTTTAACTTCAGGTATTTGTGGAACTGAGGTATCTTAGACTTGTTTTACTTGACCCCAATCAGAAAATAGGAGCATTGGGAGGAATTTGCAAAGAAGCAGGTTTCGGTGGAATGTAAGGACCAATTTACTAATAATTAAATCTGTCTGAAATTGGAATGGACTGCCTCAGGGAGCAGTTAGTTCCCCATTCTCAGAAGTGTTTAAGTGGTGGCTGATCACTGAGATTGGCACCCATATAGCACCCCTGAACCCAAAGAGAGAAAATATTCTCTTTTTGTTTGTTTCTGAAGACTTTCTGTCTCATCCAGGCTGGAAGTGTCAGGCTACTAATATACTTGGTCCCACTCTGATCAGCATAGGAGCTTTGACCTGCTCCATAATCTGATGAGCTGGTTCACTCCCTCCTTTAGGCAGCCTCGTGATGCTCTCCTTATCATATTACTGTCCAACACACAGGTGGCTTAGCCTACTGCAACTCAGGACTCCCAAGCTCAAGAGATCCTTCAGCCAGCCTCAGCCTCAGCCTCCTTGGTACCTCAGAATATAGTAGTACCCCACCACACTCAGTTATTCTA